GGGAGGGCGCTGCAGTAGCTGACTGCTCTTCAGTCCCGGCTCGGCCTGTCTTGGTCAGTCCTGGTGAAACAGCTTTGGTGGCTGTGGCTCGGCCAAACGTGCTATTGCCAGTGTCTCTAATCGGAATGTGCTTGTGTGCCAGCAGACCAGCACAAAAGCTGCAATCGCCTTTGATATGTCTGTGGGTGAACTCTGTCCTCAGCCTTACGGTTGTCGGCTCTGTCTGCTGCTGGTAGCTCGACCAGGGTCAAACGTAACAATCGAGTCTCTGGGTTGCCTCTTGTCTGCTCCGAAGCATGTGCGACAATTGCGCGGGCGCTTGTGCCGGGACTTACGCTCTAGCGTTGTTCTCAAACAAGCAACACTGTCTTCCGCTACGCTGTAGTCCATAGCTCTCGAAGCACTCAATTCAGTAGACTCACCAAACTAATCATCGGCAGCAGGGGGACAATTGCGGAAAGGGGAAACCCCCAGCATATGCATGAAACTAGCCTCTATGTTGAAGCAGCAACTAGATTGCCATCGCTTCTTCTCAGGTCCTTTGTTTTTCAGGGACCCGAAACCTGGGTAGCCTAGGTAGCCGGACAGCGCGGAATGGACCCCTGCAGAATAGTGTTGCATGGGGTGGCTTGGAAGCGACCGAAAGTCAGGGCAGCGTCCAATGAGTTGGGCTCGTGTGAAGGACAAGGGGTTCGGATTTGAAGTCTCGCCTGACAGGCATCTCCGTCATGTTTCACATTCTCCCACGTCACTCCTCCCTCTTCTCATGCCTTTCTTGCGCCCTATCATTGGCGAGCCGGCGCAAGTGGGCGCCAGAACAGACATGCTAGCACTGCAAGCAGAAGTAGAGGCTTTCTTGCGTGCAAGAGTTCTATAGCACCAAAGAGCCCCCAATAGTCGACTGAGGATTGGCATGTGAAGCGTCGGGGCAATTCTTCTGCCAGCACACTAAATTGCCATACCTGAGCATTTGGCGCAGGCAGGGCTCAAGAAGGCGCATCGTCTGCAAAGTTGCTACTCACAGCCGAAACCTTCGCGAAACTTGCTCAACCTGCTCCTTCAAAAGGCCAAGGGTGCCACGACGGCACAGGCGAAATTGGGGCGCCCGCACCGATTTCTGGCTGGGACTGCCCCTACCTGAGCTTCAGGCACTGCGTGATAGTCGGGAGTCAGGGATGCCACAAAGGAGCTTTTGAGCAAGCGTGTGCGCGCACAAGTTTATCGCCTCCTTACATCAGGTGCGATGTGGGTGGCAAATCCGAGAATCATCCTGCACAATCAGGTCCACGGAGCAAGTGTGGAAGGGCGAGAGCAAGAGGCTGCCATTTTCACGGAAATTGGGCCAAATAGGCCCTGCCCAAAGAAATGGATAATCTGGTGGTTCGCGATTGTTCCTTGATCGATATGATTGCAAAATCTGTATATTTTGATTGGTCATTTCCCACGCGTGGACCCATGGCCAGCATGGTCACCCTGCTTGAATTTGAGCTTCTGCTGATAGCAGTCCGCTGATATGGGTGACCCCTGCCTGCAACAGGTCAAATCGGTCACACATCCCCCAAGTCTGCACGCTGAATTCGACCTCGTTGATCCTTCGCCAGCTAACAGCTGGCCTTGTCCCTTCTTTCAGAGATACCAAAGCTAAACATTTGCAGGACCGAGGTCAGCAGCTATAGGAAACCCATCAGCATCAGCATGTATAACCAAAAGGTAAACCACAGGGGATACAATCACATGTGGCAACGAGCTGTAAGAGGCTGTTGACTGAGGCCGAGGTGGCATATTCTTCTGCTGCGATCTGCTTGAAATCTTGGATCACATCGCCAAGGGCAGGTCTGATCTGTATGCCCAAGTTTTCTGCAATGCTTGGCACAATGAAACTGAGTTCTGAACTGCCCTCGCGATTGACAGTGCGCATGTCAACCCATTCGTTTACAGTGGAGAAATCAAGCTCTCTGCCGTTGCGTCAGGTTCAAGCTTTGTTTCATCGAGGTGTCGGTCGCGATCGGGAAGCTACGGTCATTCCTGCCGGCACGTTCAGATCTGCGGACAGGGTGCCTGCTTCCGAATCTTGGATTCTACGGGAGACTTACCAGCAACGGCTGCCTTCTGCGGATCGAGCTGCAACATGGCGGCACAATAGATCGAATTTCTCTTGTGAGCCAATCTCGGGCATCGGAGCATAAAAGACATACCTCAGCACCACACACGCAAATCTATAACATGGTGGAATGTGAGACAGGTAGTGGAAAAACACCCAGAGAGAAGCCTCACCCCCTTGGGTGTGTTTTCTTTATTATATGTTTTTTCGCGGGCAGCTTGTTTGATGCTCTCTCACGGGGAGAAAGGAAACCACTCCAAAGGAACTTGGTAAGCTTCTGCCCCGAAGTGAATCTTCCTTGGGGTGTCTGTCTGTCTGTAGTTTTGGGGCAATCATGTCTGAAACAAAGGAGCCGTGTGTTGAGAATTAATTGGTCGAAACACAATCACGCTAAGTTAGACACACCCTATATACTTCATACATACAGCTACTTGCCCTGAAAAAGGAAATGAGTGCTGGGGTCGATCATCCTTTGGGTCCCGAACAACCGAACAAGAAGGGATTTACCTGGACCTTCGTCCTCCTGAGAAAAAACAACAACAAAAACACGTAGTTTCTGCTTTTGACTGGATATTTGGGAAATCGTAGCACTTTGTGCCGAAACTCATAAAAACTCCAAAAAAACGCACTATTGCAAAGCTCACAACCTTGGACAAATTAGAGAAAGCTTTGCAGGGGTAAACGACTTAATGCAGCCCGCAAGTTTGTCAAAACGTGCAACGGGGGTCCAAAGTTGTGCGGTGCAGTTTGACCGCAAAACACCCGCAAATCTCCGCAAATCTCCCGCAACAACCCGCAAACTCCCGCAAATCAGAAAAAGTCGTAGTTTTGATGATCAAGGTGGTGTTCACGCAAGTGCTGCGAGGTGAATTTAATTTGTATGGCTAATGCGCGACTGGAAACGACGCAATTCGTACGTGCTTTTGCCCAAAATGGTAGCTGAACCACTGGAATTTGGTAAATCGTAGGGGTCAAACACCTAGACATTTCCCGAAGATTGAAGGTTCAGGTAGATGAGGAATTACAGGGGTCACTGGATCTCCCCTTCAAAATTGCAGTTGACTTGTGTTTTTTTCCATTGAAGCTGAACACCAAACGTAATTGTTGCTCGCCCACTTCAAACGCGTTGCAACCGCTGGAAGTGGACCCAGTGAAACCAGCGGGCTTTCCGGCATCGAGCCTTGGCCGCCTTCTTCGGGCCCTGAACTTGTGCCACCTCCGCGGAAAGCCGACGCGTTTCACTGCCAAGCCTAGGGGAAGTCACCTTCAGCCCTAGGTGGATCACTTAAAAAGCAACAAGTGCGAGGGAGCAGTTGATACGGCAACCTGACTAAGTTACGGGTTGTACGTGAGGGCAAATCAACTCAGGGAATTTAAGCAAGGACAACCACGTACATGGGGCGGTCCAAGCATTGACATGTGCCATGGTCAAGCCGCCTTATGTGGGCTATAGCATCACGGTTTCCTGAATAGGAATCTTTACAGACTGTGTCTTGCAACAGTTGTCCAAACTGTCTACCTCTCTGCGGACTCCACAAATGGCAAGGGCCAAATTAATTCAAGCGAGTCGCAAGCCAAAATTAGAACTGACCGCAACAAATATGGCGATGCATGTTAATGGCGAACCACCTCAGTGGTTGGTGGACACGAATCCCCAGGTAAATGATATGCACCAAGGGTCCCCGATAAAAATGCATACCTTGACAACCCTTGGTATGGTTGCAAAACACCTTGTTTTTTGTTGCAGCACCCTACCTACTAAACATGAACATAACCAACAGAAACAAAGCTAAAACTAACAACCTGCCAGCAACAGTGAAGATGCCCACTGTCAAAACTCTTCAGCTAACCGCATCTAACCACAAACATGAGGCACACTCCTATCGGATCAGGCCTTGGAGGTGCAGTGGGGTCGGTCAGGGCAATAGACCTGGCAGAGCAGTTTCCGGCGGCGCTTGCATAACCCCCCCATTTTGCCCATGGTTCATCCTCAGTTGCCGGGATCCAGAAATGAAACATGATCACCTTTTGAGGCAATAAGCATCGGAACCCAACAATGGGAAACAAGAGGTCAAGACGTTGAGCGTTGGGCATGTGAGGATCCCAAGTTCTGTGACAAAGATGGGGACTTGCAAGGACTTCCCCCATGGCAATCTCTTTCCAACTAAAAACTGGAAATCGTGTTTTGTTTTTGAAGGAATTGGGCTTGTCTCGTAAAATCCGGGAACCTTCAAAAGTGTGTGGTTACTTTTGCATGTCCCTTGAAATCCCCGAGAAAGATCCTCTCTAAAGCAGCAACCTTCTCGTCGTCGTTGTCTGCCATGATCTGGAAATGTTCCTCAGACATGCGGCGCGCTCTGCAGGCCTCTTGGCATGCGCAGCAGATTTTGGCTACAGGGATTCCTGAAATAAGACCAAGCGGATTCCTACCCATTCAACAAATTCCTTAAATCAAACTGATTCCTTGAATGAGCTTGCCACCATATTTAAGGTACTGTCTTTAACTTTATGCATCCCAGATGCAAGCCCCTGCCCAGTTGGACAACATGAAGAGGAGATCCCAGTGAGATTCCTTTTTGCTTTCGCTATATTTTTTTTCATTGGGCCTGACAGCTTGAACCTCGCAAAAAAAACAAACAACAAAAACAAAAAAACAAACATGACGCTTTTCTGTTTATCTTCGAAATTGCATGTTCAACATTTTATGTTGATTCCAGTTTACGTGGCCAGACTCCGGCTCCTTGCAAAAAGCTAGACGGTTTTGGTTGCACATGGCTTTCCCGTATCAAACATAAGCTGGAAATAAGGAACGGACATAGGATCGGGCCTTTTCAATGAATCCCCAAGCCGCCAAGCAGATTCAGAATCTCACGGGCACAGCATGTGTGCCCTGGGTTCCACCGAAAAGTTGAAATGAACTGAGCATAGGTCTGGGTTGACGTCCTGAACATGGCAGCTGTTGGATGACCATCCCGCGTGAGCGGTTAACATCCCGGTGCTTATGTCGATTACCCACATTTGAGCAGAATCTTAAGGCCGGCATGCTTTTCAGGGAACCCAAAGGCAAAACAACACCATATTGGGTTAGTATAAGATACATTTGAAGGAAAGACAAGCACATTCTCTTATTTCCCTATTTTGAGCCTAGCCCATTTAGGGGTGTCCCCGATTTTTCGACATCACTCACCGAACCGCCACCACCGGGCCAGGCTGAACCCCGGGCCGCGCCGGTGCTGCCGATGACGACCTCGCCGATCCACAGGCCCAGCACGGAGTCTGACCTGCGACTTCAGCTTCTCGAATTCACACAGCCGGTATTCGAGGCCTTTTCGGGGTCCTGCGTCATGTAGAAATTATGAGAAGACCGGAAGCTGAAAATTTTCATGTCTGCAAGCGTGCCTGGAACCAAAATCGGAGTTTGAAGCTTGAAAGCGGAATTGGGACGAGGCAAACGATACATCCAACAACCACCTGCTTTGCAAGGGACACCTCTAAATCAGCCCTCTAAATTAGCTGGTATTTATGTGATTTGTTGCTGACCCCGTGGCAGCCCCCGACAATGGCTTTTTCAACCATGTCCAAAACCCAGAGAGCTGTCTAAGCAGTTGGGTGGTGCTCATACAGCTGGGACACGAAAAAAGCATGCGATTAAAAAAACGTTCGACCAAAATGGGCTACGAGGCTATTCAATTTGGGGCGCGTGCAGGGAAACTAAAGAACAGAACAAACTCTCCCCTTGCAACTTGTGTGGAATGAGTGGGAGGAGATCTGTCTGATTTTTCTTGTGTGGCAAGTGCTGACAAACAGAGGGTCTCGGGATGGAAACACATCTTCCTAACGCAACTACTCTTGCAATGCAATTGCAGCTAATTCTGTAACGGCAAGCGAGCGAGCGAGCAAACCAGCGTTGTGGGGCGACTCTTAGGATTCCCTATCATCACCCCTAAAGGAAACTTAGCTCAAAATTGCCCAAACGGTGATTGAACTTCAACACCACCACAAGGCAAGTTTAGGGACGGTGGACATTTTCCCTCCCAAAACCTCCGCGTGTTCATCCCACAGCCTCGTGAGTCTGCCTGCTTTCTTTCTCTGACATTTGCAGGTCACTCTCGGAATGCGGGAGGTTCGACTTTGCGCCGCCACGAAACCCATTTCGTTTTCCTTTGCAAACCTCGCTTCCCTTTGCAGATTGCTTTTACCTTCCTCTTCATGGGCTACTTTTGCTGCAATGCGGCTTTCGATACTTGTCTTTTCGCTCCTGTATGTTTCGCTCCATGGGTCATCTGGCAGCTGGCGCAGTCTTGCAGTTTTATTTCGGCCCCAAACCTGTTGACCCCATTTTTAACCCGAAAAAGGGAATAACCCTCAACAATCACATGTTGATTTACAAGTCATTTTTCTTTTCTCGCCTGAGGGCTTTGGGGTCTGTGCCCAGGGCTTTGGCCCAGTGAGCCATACAACCATAGCCCAGCTGCGGGTGCGCGAGTGAACCACAGCCGCCGGCACAACAAACTCGCCTCTCCATGGCCTCCGGGTCCCAGTTGTTGAACCTTAGGTGAACGGGCGGAAAATCAGTACATCTATTCATCAGGGTACGTGTTTGTTTTCTCTGCTTTCTATATTGCTTAGATGGTTCCGATTGACATGAGGGCAGGCAAGAATACCAGCGCTCTACGATTGTGGCTTGGACATGGGATACTGAACCTAAGCCCGGCTGGAAGTCCAATCTGTAAACTAAGGTTGACGGCACGCCTCTACATGAGCGCCAGTCAAGGACGGCCATGGACACTGGGAGTCCAATCTGTGAACAAAAGTGTCTGAAAGTTGTTGGGCCGCGACCAAGAAACCAAGAATGTCCTCATGGGAGTTGCGGTTCTTCATTGCGCGTGGGCCTGACACATCCGCTGTCCTGTGGGCTGATGATAGGCGCCATCAGCTCGGTTGCTTTAAGATATGGCTGGTGGTGACTTACAAGTTGCGCATCCTGGATTGCCATCATAGCATGTCCTGTGCTGGATATCTCATGGGATGAGTACCAGCCTGCTCTTGGTCACTCCAACCGGCATAGGTAGGCTCTGGATGTGTGGCAGGATTGCGCTGGCTGTCGGACGTTTTGGATTTGCCTTTATCCTGTCCGCCTTTTCCTTTGCCATTCTCATAGGATGGATAACCTTTGCTCCATCGAAACGATACCGGAACTTTGATTTTCCTTGCTTTTTCCCGATATGCCTGGTCGTAGGATCATAGTTTTTGTTGGCCATATTGGCCTTCCCGCCGGATGCGCTCTTGCGAAAGGGTTTGAAGCCACCTCGTCAGTGATTGCCCTTTTGCTTCTGGGGTGTTCCGGGGCTCGCCTTTGCACACGGGGCCAGGAGTGCTTTTCATCTGCGCGTGAATTCGGAAACTATATTTCCACGCGGCAAGGCTTTGCGGCAGCCTGCCTCCCAAAACCAAACAAGCATTTATGCTCGAAACTCACAACCGAGCTAGGTAGGGTTGCGACCCTAAGCGTGCTCGCTTCGCGCTCGGTTCGTGCTTGTGCTTGGTTAGTGCTCGGTTCGTGCTCAATTGGTGCTCTGCTCTGCCGGCTCGCGCTCTGTTCGTGCTGCTTGGGTTGTGCTCAGGTGGCGCTCTGCTTGGGAGGCTCGTATTTGGATCGGGCCCGGTTCGGCCCGGTTCGTGCCCGGTTCGAGCCTGGTTCGTGCACGGATCGCGCACGGACCGCGCACGGATCGTGCCCGGTTCGTGTCCGGTTTGCCCGGCTCATGCCCGGTTCGTGCTCGGTTCGTGCCCGGTGCCCGCCCGGTTCGTGCCCGGTTACGCCCGGTTCGTGCACGGATCGCGCGCGGATCGTGCACGGATCGCACCCGGATCGTGCCCGGTTCGTGCCCGGTTCGTGCCCGGTTCGCGCCCGGTTCGTGCACGGATCGCGCACGGATGATCGTGCCTGGTTCGTGCCCGGTTCCCCGGCTCATGCCCGGTTCGTGCTCGGTTCGTGCCCGGTTCGTGCCCGGTTCGTGCCCCGTTCGTGCCCGGTTCGCGCCCAGTTCGTAAACAGTTCGCGCACGGTTCGCGCCCGGTTCGTGCACGGATCGCGCACGGACCGCGCACGGATCGCGCCCGGCTCGTGCCCGGTTCGTGCCCGGTTCGTGCCCGGTTCGTGCCCGGTTCGTGCCCGGCTCATGCCCGGTTCGTGCCCGGTTCGTTTCCAGTTCGTGCCCGGCTCGTGCTCGGTTTTTGCTGCGAGGCTCATGCTAGTTTGAGCATTGCCTTGGCGAACGGCTTCCCCATTGCAATAAATGGGGTGCCCCCCTTCCCCCCTTTTAATCAATATTCCGTGGGGCCAAAAAAACTATTGATTGGGTACCACAAGGGCGCTGCAGGGTGCCACCTGGCACAAACGCCTTAAACAGCAATTTGTCCTTTAGCGATTTAAAAGAAAACCGCTCAAGGCAGTTTTGTTCATATTGAACTTGAACAAAACAAATCGGCGCAGTTCAATCTGACTTGCTCACTCTAGATTTGAATTTGCAATTCGATAATTCAAACGTGAATGCAATCGTAAGTCAAACCTGGTTTGGAGAGCTAATAAGTTCAGGTCTGGACGAGGGGTCCGCGAAAAACAAATTAATGATAGAGCGCATTCTTGATAGGGAGAAGTGATTGGCAGCTCAGCCTAGGGCCTTTGAGAAATCTGGCGTGTTACAGAAAACGCCGCAATCAGCCCCCCCACCCCCCTTCCTTTGTTATAACAACCCCAATGGAAAACAATGGGCACTTGGACTCAGAATTGAGCCTATAGGGGAGGGGGGGGGGGAGGGGGCAACTCCAGAAATCACGGCGTTTTCTGTAACACCTCAGCATTGCGTATCTTGAGCCGGGCGCTGTTTGTAAGATTGTTGTGGGGAGCCTGTTCAACCCAGTGTCCCGGAAAACACAAAGTTCGGTTGTTAGTTTCACGCTAAATGCGTCTGCGCCAATGTGCTTGGAGCTGGGCGGCCATAGCAAATATATCTTTGTAGGGCTTTTCAATTCCAAGTCTGGGGGTGGCAACTTGGCTTTGCGGCGATAGCGTTTGGCGGCGTTCCTTTCTGGCGCCAAGGCCCACGGAAACCACAAGGGTAAGAGAATAGACGCCCAAGCAGAAAAAGCATTCTGGAGAGTACAATTGCTGAGCAGACCCACAAAAGCCGAGCTGCGCGGCGCTTTCACCTTTGGCTGTTCAACGTAGGGCTTGAAATCACGCATTTGAGAAGGCATGCCTGTTTGAGCTGGCGCAAAGCAGAAACCCTCAGAGCGCTACGTGCTTCCAAAGCTTTGTCAGGTCCAACCATGCATCAACAGCTTCTTGCTGCGCGTAGAATTACAAATCTATCATGCCTGGAAAGCCCAGCGCCGAATTTCCGCCACTGATCGAAGTTAAATAAACGCGCTTGGTGCCCAAAAACGTCGTTGGAGCAATTCGCGAATATTCAAGAACTTGTGTGAACCGTTTGATTGCCAAAAAACGCCGTTTGATTGCCAAAAAAGCCGTTGGCAAACATCAGTTGACCAGCTTGACCTTGGCAAAGCGTCACACTTTGGGATATATGCAGGTATTCTGTGGCAAACCTTCTGACTTCACTGCCATGCTACACAAAACCACGCATCTTTGGAAAGCTCTCTGGAGGCCGTCTCGCACACTATGGCTTTGCATTGCCCGCGCTTGCCTGCGAAACAAAACATTGGCCTGTGCGCAAACAAAAAAGCACTCTGGGGTCTGTGATGCCCAGTGCTATCAAAGGCAAGGTCCCGTGTTCCTTTGCCTTTTCTTTTTTCCGAATCTCACATTCCGCCCACGCGTCATTCTCCTCAAGAATCCAAAATGTCCCTTCATGTTCCGTTGCCATGAACCCTTCGTGTCCTTCTTCATCCTCAACCCAAAAGCCTTCTTCTCTTTCGCACTCTCCTTGTTCCAGGGTGTAGGTGTTGCTTGCCCTGCAGGTCAGATGGATGGATCTTGGATGGGTGTTCTGGTCGTGACGAGGGGATCATGATACTGTGTCTTCAGCAGCTCGCAGGAGCAGCGCTCGAGTGAGATGTTCCCAAGGACATTGCGCTGATCAATCGTTCTCTCTGCGTGTTCACTCTGAATCCGGTTTGGGGCTCAATTGATCGATGACCGCCAAAAAGTGCCGCCATCGTACCAAAGAAAAGAGTGATTGGACGACATTCACCAGTTGCTTCAAGATCCCTCCGAAGGAGTCAACTACTTTCAAGAACATGCTGAAGAAATACTGCCTGAGGGGAACGGCCAACGTGTGTCTTTACTTCTCAGCTTCTTCAATCTCATATTCACATCCAAATTTGATGTCCCTCTCTGGAACGACTTGATGCCCGCCTATACGGCACGATCACCAGAGTTTCTTGCATCCGTCCAAGACGCAAACCAAAGAAGAATTGTCCGGCGCCAGCAAGCTGCTGGTGTCAGGGTACCGCCTCCGCCTCTGCTTGCCGCAGACGATCCAGATGCACTGAGACAGTGCATCAACGGCATGCAGACAAGACACAGGGACGCATTTCCCCTCAATTGCACAATGATCCCTGAGGTGGAAGTGTCCACTATGGCAACGGTGCGCGTGTGGCCCTGGATTTGCATAGCATCTTGTTGATGTAGACCGAATGGATGGATGCATTGACCAATACATGTCTCTGGCAAATAGATATGTAGAGGTTGTATCTGTGAACGTACCGCAAGGTTCTTTCTCTTGGATGCGGAATTGCATACGAGGTGCGAAAGAAGGGCCCTTGAGCCAAAGGGTTGCGCAGAGGTCAATGTGTCAAACACAGGGGGTGCTGGCATGCATCCATGTTTTTGGTAGGTAAGGGTCTCATGTTTGAAGGATCGGCGTTTGATTGTGGATTCATGCTTTTGCTTGGCCAATCCCGGAAAAGGCAGCCCTTGCGGTTTCTACATCCATCGTTCTCTGTGGCAATGTCCTGAACGGGTCGTGGAGTCTGCAGCAAATCGGAAAGCCGCGCGGCTCACTCCGAGCCCCCAGCGTGCCCTGGATGAAGAAGTCGTCGCCCCAGTCGATCAGCTCCTGGCGACTCCGGCCAATTGACCCAAACACGAAACTTAGCGGTGCGCAGTGAATCTCTCAACGAGATATGAATCCCTTCAAAGGCTGAAATCCCAACGGCCTAGGGGTGTGGCTGACAACGCCAAGGGCCAACCTGACATTCGGGATCCACGTGCAGGAGCTCCATTCCCTTTTTGAAGTGCTCATGTTTGCTGGGATCACTCCGCGAACATGTTTCGCAAAACAGATGAGATGGCTGCTAGCTACAACTGCAAATTCCGATGCAAGAACCAAACATATCTAAATATATATACATATATATGTATATAATTGACACATGAAAGGGTTCCCAAAGATTCGATGTGCAAGACTGAAAGGCGATGGAAGCTTCCAGGTTTGTGAAGGACACTCGGAAACATGGCCGGCCCGGAAACTTGGAGGCAACAGCAATATTGGGAGGTGAGTAAATAAGGAGACCAATGAAACCGCAAAGTATCATGGCACTCTGTGGCAAGTTTTTGGTGGATTTACTTTCTATGTAAGGTACCCTGTCTGGGCCGGCCAAGTCAATTAGGCTACACCTGGGACGGGGCCGGAACTCCGGGGCTAACTCTGGCCCGCTTGCCAACTTGAAATCCCCAAGAGAGGGGCCGTGCATTTTGGAGGGTACTTCTTTTGCCTGGCTTGAAGGGAACCCAAAACGGAACACCGACGCCATTTTGGGAAGTTCCCCTAATTTGACATGTACCCAAGCGGGTGTGAACATTTCAGGTGGGGGTTCATGAAGGGGTCGGATATTAAAAACCAGCCCCCACTGGCACCCCCTTGTTCCCATGTACACAAAATCCCAAGTACCCAAAAGGCAGTGGCACATACCCAAGTCTTCGGTGCAACTCTTCGAGCTCCTCATCAACCTTCTCCCAGCTGGCGACACCGTCCTGGAGAAAACTCGTGCCATTTTGAAATGGGCTGTTTGTGCGTTGAGGGTTTAGGGCTTGGCTTTTTCTGCTTTTTGGTGCAAGGCTTAAGGCTTCAAGTTGTTGGTTGTGTATTTGTGCTTCTGTTGGGCTGGCTGATCCCCTTTGAACCGTTGCAACTGCTTCACGTGGGTTCCTGGAAGGCAACTTCTGGCATGTCAAAATCATCCCCCAAAGTGGTTGATTCCCATCAAAACACCGCTTCCGTCGAGCACCTGGACCTAGCCGTGGGTGGTTTCAAGAGTCAGGGACTCAGATTGCCTCATTTATTTTGTCTCATTACGCCTGACAGGGCCCCCATGAGGGGAGCAAAAAACCTGGTGCACCATCCCTCAAACCCCGCCTCGTCCAGCTCGATCATGTATCTGTCCCCAATCTGCCCAGCAGGATCCAGCCTGGAACTCCCAATCTGGGAATCAGGAAACCCGATGCGGTGAGCTCGTCAGAGTTTTCCCAGTTTTTCCTTCCATGATAGCATCCCCAGGAACCCCGGTCCTGGCAAAGGGATCTACCCAAAGTGAAAAATGACAAGGGCGTGTTTTCGCACCTACTCATGGTTGCCCTCCAGTGCTCCACTTGCCCCGCATTTGTTTGTGGCGGGTAAAACGCTTTAGGCCTTCGGGAACAACAGGGATTTATGGGTTCTTCACTGAGGTATTTGTCGGAGGTGAAGCATTTCGATCCCTTTGCTTCCGCTTCGTGCTTCAGTCCCTGGCCCTGTGGTCTCCCAATCCCGCACGTCGTCCCCGTTCATGGTGATCTCTGCTGGGGGCGCCTGGCCACAGAAACGCCCAGTGCCGGAAGGACGGAGTGAGTTTCGCCACCTAAGCAGATTCCCTCCCACCAGCTAACATGGAAGTGCACAGACCCCTGTAGAAAGACTACCTTCCTCTTGGAATGGGCTTCTTTGCACTTCCATGTTAGTTGGTGGGAGGGTTCGCCACCTCCAAAGCACAGAAGGGCTCCTGTTTCGGCTACCACGTCAGACTACAACTTATCTTGGTCGGCTTCTGGCGAGGATATGTCATGTATCAGACATGACCCTGTAAGGCACGCATTTCTGGGAAGTACCAACCCGCCAAAGACATGGTCGGTCCCCTTCCGTTGATTTTCTTGGAGGCTGTTGACCTCTGCACGAGAAGCTCAAGTGGATGGGAACACAACACTGTGTAGAAAGAAACACAAGGTTGCTTCGGCCCAGCCAAATGAGGGTTGTTCATCACAATAGCTGTGCTCAAATAGCCTTCAAGTATATAATCTGAGTCATGGTCAAAACAGGTTGTGTGGGTCATGGTCCCTTATCATGGCGGTCAAAATTGTGCATTGAGGGGACCCATGGTGATCTGACCGAGACACATAGGCTCACGTTAGCCCTAATTGGTCGTGATTGGCGGTTTTGGGGTGCATCTTCCCATCTCTCAACCTTACAAAAGCCTTTTGGGTTCCATGCCCAAGCCACCGCAACGGCCCCTTGGGCAACAACCGCTCAACCGCTCGACCGCTCAACCGCTCGACCGCTTTCCGCTTGGCCTTTGCCAGCTTCCGCTCGAAGAGCTTCACGGGGTCCGACACCATGCAGCCCCTGGAGTTCATGATGTTCTTCCCCCACGCCTCGCGATGGATGGACATGTTGCACGCGAGGATCTGAAACAGGGAAGGCGTGTCTCGATCCAAATCTTCCGGGAACATGATCAAATGGATCGCCCTGTTCCTCAAATGGAAACCAAGAGCTCCCTCAAACAGCCCATGCCATGCTCATGGCCGGCCATGAGGCCCCCCCTTTGGGTCACCCACTCGTTCGCGGCCTCCGCGTGGGCGTTGGTTCCGCCGAAGCCGAAGGAGGAGACACCCGCGTAGGCCGCGTCCTAAGGACGGATCCGTGGCCTTTTCTCTCTCCCCGCTTGAGTCGCGCGGATCAAGAGGGTCATACTGATGGTTGCGAGATCCATTTCGCACCGTTCAGAAACCCTGGAATGATTCGAGTCCCCTTTAAAATTGCCAACCAACTACGGTTTCACCATGGTTTCTTTTCAAGGTGGTGCAGGATTTCGTCCATCCACAGTATCCCCACTTGACTGAGAACTACTTTCTACGTGGGTTGGGCATCCAAGAGGGGAACCACCCAACCAGCTCAACTGCTCATTGATGTGGGGACAATGGCCATCCATAACTCTATGAGCAACAAGCTTGCTACAGGATTGTGGTAAACAAATACGCTAATATATTGGGATCCAGCCAACTTTGCCCAGTGCACCTTCTTCAGTGTCACAAAAAACATGGCCAACAAAAATCGGCCACCCTGTGGACCACTGATTTTTTTGTAGGCTTTTCTCCAAGGGGACTCCCTCATTTGGCTGTGGCTCAAAAAAGTGGTACAATTGTTTGGCCTGTTGGATGGAAACAAAGACCAGAACCTGCGCAACCCCGGCTCTTAATTTTGAGCCACACCCAGTTCGGTAGGTCTTGTCCCACAAAAAATGGCCAACAAAAATCGGCCACCCTGTGGACCACTGATTTAAAAAAAAAAAAAAAACAACAAGGGGACCCCCTCATTTTGGCAGGTTTACCGATTTTTGCCAGTTTTTGGTCCAAGGCGACCCCCTCATTTCGGGGTCGGTTTAACTTCCGCCTTGTGAATCCCTCGGCACCCCGAATTCCTCGCGCATGGCCACAGACTCCGAGAGGATCTGGCACGGGAAGCCCTGGCGCAACTCAGGTCTGGCTAAAAAGTCCAAAAAATGAATCGCCAGTGCCTGTTTCCATGAACACCCCAAAAACCAGCAACAGTGACTGAAAAAAGCAACTTGGCGATCCAGGAAGGCTCTTTTTTGAGGGTGCTGGCTCCTGAGACTCCTGACATGACTGTGCCATTGGGTCCACTTGGAGCCATGGAACAAGTGGGAAACAATGGGCAACATGAAGCGGCATGCGCCTCCATGTCCAAGTGCGGGTTCTTGACCTGCGCAGGAAAACATCCGCTGGACAAACCCATTTGGCAGTGGCTCAAAAATATGCACCCAAAATGGGAACCCTGGTAAATGGAAACATGGATTAAACATTTGGTCCCATGGTGGTTTATTTTTGACCAACAGCCATCTTAAAACGCAACGTGCCAAGTGAAAACGAGCCAGGAATCACAGTCGCAACCATCCCGTCATTTGCGTTTGAAGCAGGTCGCTTTGTTAAATGGCACGTGACAAAAGGGGGGGTGCTCCAAATTCAACGAGCTGCAAGTGGGTGGGGTTCTGGACAAATCAAAATCATCATCCCCTCCTGGTGTCAGTGTCAACTGGACTCCCTAAACTGGGACATCCTATGAATCCACCAAGTTCATTCAACTGGGTTGCCTGTCGGAGGTGACACACAACTCATACCTGGACCCCTCAAACCTTGGACATTAAGAAAAAATGGGGCAGCCTCCCATGAGGGAAGTTTGAGGGGCCGGAGCACACACCCTCAAACCTGCCAGCCTTCAGGTGCACGTTGGCCGCACCCTCGCAGTTGGACACCTGTTCATCTGGCCAAGTCCAAGTTTCCTTCCGAGAACCCCTCAAATTCTATCTGAAAAAGCGTACTCGTTGCCTCTGCAAAATGGGTTTACCTGTTCCAGACAAAGAAATGGGAACCGCATGTCCTCTGCTCCGGTCAAGGTGCACTAACTGCCTGGGGGCAGAATCCAAAGTCAACCTGACGCGCTGGTTGACTACTTGTTTGTCAGTGTACACATGTTATATATATATATATATGTATTTATATATATATATATATATGATTTGTGTGTGTGTGTGTTTTATTTCAGGAATCGTTTCGGACGCTCGTTGGAGGAACACCTCCTTGTGGGGGTTGATACACATCCCTTGTTGATCAAAGCATCACATATACATGGGATGACCCTTGGAGACGCCACCAAACAGATTTGACTTCTTGAGACGGGAAAACGTTGCCCACGTTGGCCAATCAATGAATCCGCCAGGGTTCTGAGTCTGAGGCTTGCAAGCAGCACTTGAAGAAGCCTGCGAGACCAGCGCCTGAGGCGGACAAGCTTCGCAGCTTGGCTCAGTGGGATCTGGGCATATGATGATTTTCTGCAGAGCGGAACAACCCCCAAGAGGGTAGCCCAAAGAAGACTCCGATCGCAGAAAAGGATGGCGAGATCCTTTCAACGTGTGGGATGGCACGCTGGATTTCAAGCCAAGCGGACCAAGTTGGCTTGCAACTTGTTCCCCGTTTTCTGGGACATCCTCCGTACAGCTCCTCCGTCATTCAAAATGGGGAAAACCAACTAATTTATCTTCCAAGCGGCAAGCAAAGGGAAACCAAACGGGACGCAACAAAAACGGACGCACCTTAAAAGGGAAAATCGTGTCCCAGCCGTGAGCGGCGCCGACACCGCCGACACCCAGCCACTCAGCCACCCAGCCACCGCCCCTCACGATCCGACTCAAGGCCCCAACCGCCCTCGCCGTGCGCGATGTTGGACTTGGATGACCTCAGGGTATGAACCAAACATGACGGCGACGGCCTGCCCTGACATAAGACGAACCTCCCCCCCCCTCCCCAAAAAAAGAGTCCCCAAAAAAAAACAAAAACGGCAGAGCAGTTTCTTTGCAAGTGAGCTACCTGGGTTGTAACCCGCGAACAATAGGGATAAGTCCGCTCTGAGGAAACAGGAATATGAGCGAGTCCCCCTGGTTTGGTGGGACATTTAGTGGGTCCCTTATGTGGCAAGCATGACCGAACCTGTTTGTGGGCATGATCAAAAGGAGATGCCTGCAATCTTGACCCCGGATCGGTCAACCTCTCCTATGGGAAGTCGTCACCCACAGAAGTGAAGTATTCCCACTAAAAAGGTGAATATCATTTGTTCGTCTGTGGTCATTGTGTATAAAAAGGATGCTTCTTTTAATTGTCCAGGGTTCCATGATAATCTGCAGTACTCAGTACTCTCCACACCGCTGAGCTTGCAAATGCCCTCCAGCGAATTGGCACAGGTTCCACGATGGGCGTCTCACTTTGAAGGCACAATGCGGGTGTGTGTCTTGAAGATCCGTTTTCTCTGATTGGTTTCAAGTTGAGCCGGAGCTTCTGGTGGATTAGTGATGATTAGTGTTCCCCACAGAATATGATCCGGAATCTCTGAATGGGACAACCCCCCCCAACCCTTCAAAACCCCTATCAGACAAACTTGGCTTACAATATGGGGAAATGGGATCATTAGCAAATGGTCTATTTCCCCTGTCCTTCTGATCTTGGATGGCCGAAACAATGCGAGTGGATGGTTGCAATATCCACCCCGATCTGGTGCCCGGGGTGCCGAGCGTGATCACTAGCGGCTCCTTGCGCGGGGTGGCGCTCATCACCTGCGCGGCTCACCGTCGTGCGCGTCTCCCGAAATCGAACCGCTGAAATGGAGCCTCTTGGAGCCTCCCTGTCCTTTGAATTCGCACTCTGCGCCTCGTTCCGAAAACCAGCGAAACCGCTTTCTCTGAGGCCACATTGACCCCTGACGCCGCATTCCTGGCTGACACAGCGCTGATGCCGCATTCTGACGCCACATCCTCTCTGGCGCCATGTTCCGCATTCGGACGCCACATTTTCGGACGCCGCATTGCCCAGCAGGAGAAAGTGGGAGGAGAGGAGTAGAAGCAGCAAGAACAGTAGGAGAAGTAGGACTAGCAGTACTAGTAGTAGTAGTAGTGGTGGTGGTGGTGGTGGTGGTGGTGGTGGTGGTGGTGGTGGTAGTAGGTTGGTGGTAGTGGTAGTAGAAGTAGCAATGGTAGTAGTCGTGGTGGTGGTGGTGGAGTAGGAGTAGCAGCAGCAGCAGCAGCAGCATCAGCAGTAGTAGTAGTAATGGTGAGGAGAAGTAGGAGTTCGATAGGAGTAGTGGGAGTATTAGGAGAAGTAGGAGTAGAAGTTAGGGTGGGAAAAAGAAGTACCAGCAGCAGGAGCAGCAGCAACAGCAGTAGTACTTCACAGATGTCAACGCGAATTGCAACCGGGTCTTCTTGTCCAAATAACATGTTTGCTGACTGAGGGCAGGCGGTCCCCTGGAAAGACTAGAAGAGGGGTCGACAGGGGAGATCGGCAGCGCAATATTGGTTTCAGATTGTTCTAGTTCAGCATTGTCATTCGTTTCTCGTCGTTTCTGGGAGCCTTTGGGCGAATATCTTTGGAATTCGACTTTGTCGGGTGGCAAAGTACTGCGTTACACCCCCGAGCGGGCGCAATGCATTTTTGGGTTCCCTTTGAACCGACCAGTCACCGGGCGCCCCCTTTGTGGTCTGCGAATTTGATTGGATGTCTCGGGCTCCAGCATGTCAACCAGTCCTGGCTGAGATTCGTTGTGCTCATACTATTCCGAATGGGATTAATCCAAGAACCTTGCCTGCTTATGGAATAAGGGCACGCCAAAATCAAACCGATCCCCAGAAATGGGGGGGGCACCATACTTGGAACACCTGGCTCAGTGCTCAACATCCCTGGCTGCCAAGTCCCCATTTCGGGCACCCAAAGAAACTGGGCTCCCAGCCTCTCCCAGCTTGGGGTTAGGGTTTCCTAGACACCTGAAAGTCGGAGACACCAGCAAAGCAAATAGAATCTGAAGACGCTTTCCCTTCATTTCCCTTGAGGGAAACCGGGGCTTAGCCCGGATTGCCGACATCGCCTCGCCTTCTTGAAGGACCCAACCTCGATGGGGTCTCCGAGCGCCCTCAGGCGACATGTTCAGATGTCTTCGCATCACGCTTGGGGGCGTGGGGTGGGTTGGTTGGAGATTTGGGAGAAGCAGACCTCACAAAAATCGCCGATCGAATTTCCTAGGAAAATGACCCTTTACAATCGCTGATCGCTCTTCGAAGCCTCTTGGTTAGACCAAGCTCAGACTCGCAGTTGTCAGAGTCCGAAGGCCTCGACGTTTGGGGGTCTCAAAACCAGGTTTGAAGGCCCTAGATCAATCCGGAGCCTCTGGGTAGTGAGTATATAGTTTTAAACGGACACCCAACTACTCGACCAGCTACAATCCTTGAAACTTGAAGCAAAACCAAGGAACCGGACAGCTGGTCATAGTTGGCCCATCTGCATTTCTTTTGTTGAGGTCTAACTGGTACATATATATATATATGCATCCCATCATCCAGGCCGGTGAGGTTTCTCCCTTTCCGGGGTTTCCATTCCACAGTACCCAGGGATAGCCAACTTATTTGAAGCCCACCCCGAATAACAAACATGGTCAGAGAGACTTCTCTTGCATATGTCGCCAACCCTAAAATATGAAATCATACAGGTACATGGATCTTAATGGGGAACCCCTTCGTTGGTGGACCTTTGTATCCCCATCTGCTAAATCCAACAAACAGGGGTCCCTGGATTTCTCCTTAAAAAGTTGATCAATGTAGTGGTGCGGCCCATTGAAACGAGCGCCGAAAACCCTGACAAAGCTGGGCTGTCCTCGGATCCCCTGCTAAAAGTCGAAACCTTTAACAGTGGAAGTGGAAACTCCCACTGAACCAACCCAAAAAACCTGAACAGCTAAGCAACCGGAGGGCTGGGGGAAAAAATAGTAAAAGGAGAATTCAAAGAATTATTCTTTCTACTATTTTTTCTCCAACAGCAACACAACAAACAGAAAACAATATCCAGAACAACAAGCAAACAAAATAAATAATCACAACCAGCAACAAAAATATTTAATCACAGCATGCAACATTAAATAATTCAAACAAGCATACCAACAAAACAGCAACACTCTAAATCATCAAAGAACCCAAACTCAAAAACACACATCAACAAAAAACAAAGCAACATACCAACAAAAAATATCACAAGAGTATCAAACAAAACAAAAACAAACAGCCAAAGCACGAAAAAATTGAAGAAGCATGCCAAGTCTAAACAACGCACTTTGAAAGAGATAAGCAAATTATAATAATTCAATCTTTACAAACGATAAATATATTACAATTATAACATATAATATTTTACATGTGATAATCATAGTATGATTATAATTTCAGTACAGGATAATAATTTAATTGATTTGTCTCACTTCTTTCATACATCATTTTAAAAATAATATTAATATCTCTCAATGTATTTTGAACATTAAAATTTTTACTTTCAATAAATAATTTGATATTTTCTTTAACATCTTCTCCTTTCTCTTGACTATAACACAACATCCTTAATATATCATCAATCATACCATATTTTTTCTTAGGGATTTTAAGAAACTGTTTAATATAATCGTAAGGTGGTATTTTATTTACAGTTAGAAATATTAAAATCTCATCTTCTACATTTCTATTATGTCTCCCTTTTATTCTCAACAGACATTTGATTAAAACTTGATTATCTCTCCATTCCTGACAAATTTTACATTCATCTTCTTCATCCATTGAATAATTAATAATATTATTCAATATTTTATTAGGTAAATTTAATTTATACAATTCCATATTTTCTTTTTTGAAGTGACAACAATCATAGCATTTTTTATTGATATAATTATTGATTTTATCACCGTTCATTTCTATCTTAATATATTAAGTCAATATTTCTTTAAGTCGTTTTCAAAGAATTTATTTTATAATGGCCGTAAGCAAGTGAGTTTACACTATCTATCCAATATTTTTTGTTTTCATAACTACTAAGAGCAATTTTTTTAGTTGTTATACTAAAAATTCTGTGGTTTTTACTTCTAATACTATTAAATGACTTATGTATAACCTCATTAGTTTTTAAAACCGTCTCAAACTCTTCATATTTCATTTGACGTCTTACTGTGCTCTTTGCTATGCCCTTACATTTCTTATATTTTTTAACATCACCATAAACTGAGTAAGCGTAGCATTTAGGACGAAGGGCTATAAACCCTGTTATTATTTTACTTTTTAATGCATCCTTAAATTTACCTAATACTTTCTTGTTATTCTCATCATAACATTTATGTTCCTTAGGATAATCTGAAAAAGATATGTCTTTTTTAATTGTATTCAGGTCTTCATAAATGTCAACGGTTTAAGTATGAAATACAAAACTATCAGTATCAGTATATACCATTTTGATATAATCTCCATATTTAGGTTTCATAACGTCATAATAAAACTTATACATGTGTTGCTTACTCAAATCTAAAATACTCATCCCAAAAAATATCGGTTTGTCTAGTTTCAACTTTGTTTTTTGCTTTTCAACCCCAACCAAATTTTCATTAATGATATGACCATGTTTGAAGTTTGGATTTCTTACACACTTCATATATCTAGTTTCATCACTAACAACCTCAAAATCTAAATGTTTCCTTTTATCTTCCACTGTTTTTCCAAATATGGCATTGTTCATCAATTTATAAACATCTTTCTCAAAATCATTTCTAGCATTCTTTCGTTTCTCGGTGTTAAATTCAATGTAAGGTTTTAATATTTCCTGTTGCTCAAATTTAACTGTCCTATGAATTTTCTTAAGTTTTAACCCTTGCTTCCAATAAAATTGTAAGGTTCTTATATGGATTACATATTTTCTTTATCATTTACATTCAATACTAATTTATTTGGTTTCTCCGTAGGTTTTTTATGATTTAAAAAAATCATAAATTTCAATTTGTTTGTCTGACAGCATGTCGGCTTTAACATTCATAACCTCAGGTGCCATTGGATAGTCATTGTGTAAATCGTGTAATTCTTTAGGATATTCTAAATCCACTTCTAGAATATATCCAATATGATTATTCTTATAATGAATGAGGTCTTCTTCTGTTAATGTATCATCCCATTCTAAATTTTTATATGGCAGTTTTTGTATCATGCTTCGCCCATACAAATTATTAGCATCCAAATAGCTAATATAACTACTTTCTTTCTTTTTATCATAAACTTCTCCCATGTATTTATTATTTGCTTCAACCTTTTTAGTAGAAACCATACACATCCCTCCTCTAAGTCCCGCTTCTATCATTTCATACATTTCTTGGTCATATATTAAATCAATCTCTACACCAGTCATTTTAAGCATAGCATCAAAAGCAAAGTTAGGCAATGTATAGTAATAAGCAGGGTCCACTCCATAATATTTCATACACACATCTCTAAAATTTCAAAAATGTCAGTCAATAATAATACGTCAGTTTTCAAATATGAATCATGGTATTCACCCATATTCTTAATGGTGAAATGCTTCCATATAATTTTTGCCCTTTCATAGTCGCTATCACTTATACCTTCTTCACTCAACTGGCTATAAAAATCGCCCTTACTCGGTAATTTCTCATCATCAAATTTATCAAATGAATTCATGTAGTCATACGGATAAACACCTTTATCAGTCAACAAATCTAGGCATTTCTGACTCTTAATCATATCATTTT